GGAGGGCACATTCTGCATGGAGCACTGGGTGTTATGCACAAACAATGAATCATGGAACACTTCATCTAAAACTAATGATGTAACGTATGGGGATTAACATAAGAATAAAAAAAAAAAAAGAGACCTTTCTGAAACATTGCAGGGACAGCCTATCAATTCATAGGTAGTTCATGTTTCATTTAATTTATCCCTGACTGTGAAGTCAAATGTGGAGTTGAGTCCAGGGTTAAGTGGCATTTAGTTCTTATTGTTAAATATCTGGAAATAACAAGAAAGCCTTGTTTCCTTTAAAAAATGTATGTCTATACTTTTTATATTGTCAGATTCTTAAAATCATTGCCCTGGCTCAAACTCTTATGCTGACTCATAGGACCATCTCTGCTTTCTTTTGTAAAGAAAAGCTTCTAAATTCCTTGTTAAGAACATCACATCTCTCAGGGTGGTTTTATATAACTATAACCTTAGATTTGATAATCTCATCAGAACTATTTGTTTGATTAAGGTAAATTTAAGTGGAAAAATTACATAGTAGCAATACTTGATTTGGCTTTTTTAAAAAAAAATCATGATTAAATCAATTAGAAGAACTAATCATGTATTTAGAAATATTTGTAGTTGGAATAAAAATCAGGAGATGATCTCCTGCTTGTTTACACTGTTGAGATCCAGCTGGTAAAAATACTTACATCAGATGAAGTTACCAAGTTCTAGATTTTTTGTTCTTCCTGTTGAGGCTGAAGGTCATACTACTTCTTCACTACTGTGTGTTGACTCTGTCACTATGACTTCTTCGTCTCCTTTAAGTGGTGTTATCTCATGTTGTCTTTTAAGGGGCTTGCCTTCATAATCATAGCCAAACCAAAGTGGAGGGTCATTAGGGTTATATTCCTGCTGCTGAACGACAGATGACATTCTCTTCGCTGCTTCCCTGCAATAACAGTGATTCACATTAGCCAGAGCAGAAGTAATTACTAATGCAGAATATTCAAACTAGAGCAAATTTGGAGTAAAAGAACTGTCACAAGTCAATGAATTTCACAGCTCTCTTGCAATCCTGAGAGGGAGGGTAAGGATAATTATGCAAATATTCAGGGTCCCAAAGCTTAAGTAGCTCAGTAGCTCTCTGGTACAGTCAGTTCAGAGATTAACAGACTCTGAATGGGTAAGGAAACTACACATGGCAATGGAGTGGGAACACTGAGGGCACTCTGTAGTGCCCTTGAATGAGCCTTCTGCCTGGTATTTCCAGTTTCTTTGATGAGGGAGTACCCTCACCAGCAAACCTGTGAAGTCCCACCATGCAGGAGCTCTTAACCCAGAGTCCACAGATCCCTATTGGATAGATGGATGAACTTCAGGGAGGTCCATGAATTCCCTGAAAATTCATGCAGTTTTGTATCTAATACACATTTTTCTGAGGAGAGGGTTTGTGACTTTCATCAAACTCTCAAAGGTGTCAGTGACCAAAATGATTAAAAATACTATTGTCTTAGGAAGAGGTAAGGAAGAAAGCAAAAAAAGCATCTAAAAGTCATTCTGGACCCCAGTTTTAAAAAGGGGGCAGGGGGTCTCCACCCCCAAGCAATTCTTAGCAGCTGATGTCCTACAATTCAGCTCAATTCCAGAGACAGCATGAAAGATTCCACAGGTTAAAGGCTCAGTCTCAGTAGACTGCCCTCCACTTTAGATACCAATTACATCCAGGTTGTCACTCAGGCTTCTGACTGACCAGCTATAGAGCAGAAGTTCCAACAATTCCTTGCCCCACCCCAATCCTTCTTGGGTTCAATTAATTTGCTAGAGTTGCTCACAGAACTCAGAGAAACATTTTGCTTACTGGATCCCTGGTGTATTATAAAAGGGTATAACTCAGGAATAGCCAGATGGAAGAGATACATAGGACAGGGTGTGGGGAAAGGGTATGGAGCCTCCATGCCCTCTCTAGGTGCACCACTCCCCAAATCTACACACATTAACCAACCCAGAAGCTGTCCAAACCCTGTCCCGTTAGGATTTTATGAAGGCTTCATTATGTAGATGTGTTTCATGAAATCATTGGCCATTGGTGATTGATTTAATCTCCCCTCCCAGGAAATCAGACCAAATATTATGACAAAAGATGCTCTCATTGCTCTTACTGCCCAGGAAATTCCAAGAGGGTTGGTAGCTGTGAGCTAAGAACTATGAAGGAAGACCAAACATATATTGGTCATCTAAATGACCAAAATATATTTCTCATAAAATCACAATATCACAGCATCAGAAAAAAACAGTATATCTAACTTGAAAATGCCTTTTCAAGGGTAGAACAATGCCATTTTTCTAGGCAGTTGGTTTGAATGTTGAGATCAGTACTCAAAAAAATGAGTAATTGACAACTTCTGTAGGATCAGAAATGAGTAATGATGTTTGCCCATGAAGGGGCTACTTTGCCCACTATTACCATATATTACATTGAGTTATTGATTGCAAAGTTCTGGAAATAGTCATTGATAAAGAAGCTGGTATTACCACATGGTTTGCATTAAATTTGTGCTCGATGGCTATATGAGTTCAGGCAGCACAATGAAATTGGAAAAGGCTGAGATGCACCAGTTGTGTAAAATGCTATTTCATTTGAACCAAATTTTAGATGTATTAAAATAATTATAACCAAACTCAACAGGGAGACAACCATAGCATTGCTAATTCCATCTCTTACCACATTGCTTTTGGCATATATAATTGCACTCACATAAACAAAACAAAACAAAAAAACCACACAAGTTTAAAGAAAAATATGAGTAAAAGCAAATATACAAATTTCTAGTTCTGAGCCACCAATCCTATGGACTAAAACTTGGCAAACAAGTGTCTTCTCTTTAGAGAAGTACTTATTCTCAAATTTGAAAATGATGTTTATTGTCAAAGATGAAGTTTGGCATTCTGTTAATGTTTTAATTTTTTTAAAGTGTGGTCCTACATTTGAAACTTCTTATATGACCTTTGTATGTCCTCTAAGTAGGACATCATTATGCAGTAATAATAGTGTTGTATCGTTAGCTTTCCCCCATTTTCTTCTGAAGATTATTCTCCCTTTCCAATTCTGTGGAGTTGAGATTGCCATGTCTTTGAGGGTGTTTTCCATGAGATTGTTTTCCCTTGAGTACTTACTGCAACATAATACCAAATGCTGAGGGAATCCGAAGCATAAAATACTGGCACCATCAGTTTCAAATATAAATACAAATCACTACCCTAGGCAACGGAGCTTCATTGTTACTTACCCTTCACCCCATGTCTGCCTATTTAAACTCGATCCATCTTTCAAAACCTTAAACCAATCCAGCCTCCTGTAAAGACCTAAACCCAGTCCCTTTTTCCTCTGAACTCTATAGGAAGTTGATCATGGAGTTAATTAGTTTCCAATACATAGCTTCATGGCATTAATTGTTTATAATTTTAAACTTTATTATTTTCCTTTTGTTTAAGAAGGTAGTAAGTTATTTAAGGGTGTATTCCATTTCTTTGTATCTTCAGTGACAACCAAAACAAGACATTTTCAGCAGTTTACACCAACAAGGGAAGCCCTTTTTGCTCTCTTCTGAAGGTCTGAGGCATTCGTAGGTTGCTATTCCCAGCCCCCTCTTGCCCTCTGCCTCCCAAACAGCAGAGCTTTGGACGTGCATACTGTAGTTCACAGTTGTTGATCATGATTCAGTGTCACCGATGATAAGACCAGTACAATTATAGGCAACAATGGCCTTAACCTTTAGGAAAAGGATGAATTTGGGGAGTAAAAGATTTGTAAGTAATTGACCAAAGTATATGTAGCTTTGGCCTCAGAAGAGCAACAGTTTTTGAGTGGTCTGGTAGGAGGATAAGTGCTCTTAATGCTGATTTGGTAACATTTAAATAATAGGTCATACAGTTCCTCAGTCAGCTATAAGCCAGGGTAAATTAGATGATAACAGGGCAAATAATGGGAGTTTGAGAAAAAAACAAGAAAGTTGGGGATACTGAATCCTCAATATAGACAAAAATAGGGAATGAATAGGGAAGAGTACTCGTTAAATGCAATGCGATGAGACAGAATAAAAATAAGTTTGAGCACTACCCATGGAGGAAGTACCCAGTGGTATATGCTGTTAACTTTAAGCAGAACAAAGAGCAATTTTGTTTAAGATAAAAAAATAAGTTTATTTGGGAATAACAGAGGAATTGCAATTCAGGACCAGCAAACTATGGTAAACCATAGGCAAGTCCAAAAAGAAGAAGGGAAGGTCAGCTTTTATTATGTTTTCGGAGGAAATTCGGGAGTGTTGTTTTCAACAAAGTTTATTGGAGAAGAACAAGAGTTTGAGGTTGTGACAGTTTCTCATTGACTGCAAGTGGTAGTCAGTGCATTGTTGCTGGGGCAGGAATGGATTTTCCTTCCTTTTCGGGAAAGCAGGAGATAAAATTCCTGTGAAAAATGTCCTCCCTTGTTGAAATACAGTTGACCCTTGAACAACATAAGGGTTAGGGGAGCTGACCCCTATTTCTTGGCTCCTTGCCACCCTTACCTTAGCTCTTAGTGGTAAGCACTGCTCTTTGTTCTACCCATAGTCAGCTTCAGTGAAACTAAACATCCGAGGGTCCCCTGACCATTGGAAGTAATGCTTACAGACCAGAGAGGAGCAAAAGATCAGGTCTCAGACCCTTCTTCCCTTCCCTTCCTCCCCCAGTCTCAAAAGCCAGGAGGTTAAGGCTTTCTGTAGTCTATAGAGTGTTTCTAAGGCATATCTTAAAGCATGTAGGCTTTCACAGCAAGGGTAGTGGGGGAAAAAACTGAAAAATGTGAATCTGGACTGGGGCAAATCTGGGATTATTAGAATTTGAATGTCAGTGTAGACTATTCCCTAATCACTTTCCTCTCCACCTTTTAGAAAATCCTTAGCCCATGAACTAGCTGTCCTCACCACCTTACTCGGATCTTTGGCATCCATCCTCTTAGGACTGACTCCTAAGACTCAGGACCTGACCAAGAGAACAGACCAGCGGGGGTCACTGCCAGCAAATATCTCTGAGTTCTTTTTCACACATCCTGTTTTGCTGGGTGTTGGCACACATGCACTTTTGAACAGTATCCAGAAACTTGAAAATGTAGAAACTGAATGTTCCGGCCAAAAAGAACACACACTCTCTCTCTTTCTTTTAAAGTAGTTTGGTGTCCTGGTATGGTTAATATATGGGAGCTAGGAAATACTGAAAAGAAAATGTATGGTTAGGAATTACTATGTGTTCTAAATTTCTTAGAGTACATATGGAAGGAATCCTTTGACTCCCTTCCACTCTGGCTTGACCTAAGTGACTCTAAGGTCCTTGGACCTTGTAGGAGATGTTTTGGGAACCGAACCAGTGTGCTGCAGTGGTTAGTCATCATTACTCATTTAACTTGGTGAGATAGGTTTCTCTGGATCAATAAAAAACATGATTTTCAAAATGATATGTCACAAACAGTTGTGAAGTATCACATTAAATGTTTAATTATAAGGAGGTACTGAATTTTGTGATTTTGGGGTTTTATAAATTAAAGGAGATTCAAGGTTATTCCTATAATAACATTACTTGCCCTCACAGACATTTCCTCCTAGTTTCTTGAGTAGGCAAAAAAGGGTGGGGGGTGTTGAAGCCAACACAAAGACTGCTGGTAATCACCAGCTTCTCAGATTTATGCATCAACAAGTAAACTAGGCACAACAGAACTCATGTGCCCCCTTATTGATCAAGTCCTTTGAGTGTTAGAGCTTTCAAAAAGCTTGAAAATCACTAATCTAAAGGCAAAAGAGCAACATAGTAATGATTAAGACATAGGTACAAAGTATGACTCTGCCTTTTATTTGTTTGACCTTGGGACTTATTTAAGCTGCTTAAACCAGTTTCCTTATTCATTTTTATGGTAATGGGGGTAATTATGAGGATTAGATGAGATAGTAAACATAAAAGAGGATTAACACAATACATAGCAAATAATAATTGTTAATATTATTTGTTCATACTAATAACATTCAGTAGCTCCAGATCACAAAGGTTTTCCCCAAAGATTTTTCCATGAGCTGGAGAAGAGAACTCTGATAATCAGAGTTTTATTTCCTAGCAACAGACCTCTCAGGGTGCCTGGCTAGTAATTCATGCTGCCAGCAACTGCTACAGAAGGCCTTTAAGAAATCTCTGTACTGCTGTTTGGGGGCTCTAAAGGCCACCAAGACTCTACTCATCTCTTTAAAGTTGAAAGTTTTGGACTTTGGACACAAAAATGTCAGAAAGGGCCCTTTATTCTTTCCTAATTATAGACTTAATGTCTCTTTTACCTCCCTGTGGTTCAGACCCTCCTGGGTTGTGGGGACCATTGTTTAGGTCTTTTTCCCTCTCTCCCATTATGCTTTTCTTCCTTCCTGTTGCCTTTCTTGTTTTTCCCATGGAGGGCCATATGTTGAAAGGCTGGTTGTACACAATTGCTTCAAATCTAAACAGATATTCTTGTCATGTTTATGATCATAGTTGCTACTTATTCCTCCTTGAATTAAAGGAGCCTAGATTGTGTCTCCACATGATGCTTCTAGAACCACTTCTTGTGATCTCTTTAGGCTCTGGAGTTGGTAGAATGACAGCATATCTCATGCTGAAAGCTCTCTTGGAAAAGATCTGTAGCCAATTTTCTCATTGACCAAAAGTTTGCTACTCCCCCGGTTCAGCTGGACAGGCATCTTGATTTGCAAAGCTGGTACAATATTTTTATAGTCCATTGAGTATGGGGGAATTTATACATAAAAAAGTTTCTTCTGATGGCTGTAATTGGATTTTAGAGCCTCATCATACAATGTTTTCATGTTCAAATGGAATCAAATGTGTGGGAGTCCAACACTTTGTGATTCAAAGCCACTGAACCTCTTCCCAAGCAAGAAAAATTTCCTCTATCTCAATTACCAAATGTTCCATTCCACCCAGACAAAACAGCCACTGAAGTTGAGGGAGCCACATTAGCCCTGGTAAGAGCAAACGACTTTGCTTTTTTAGAGTGAACATAAATAGGTAAGCAATTCGACATCATCATGAACTTGAGTCTTGAAAGGCCCACCCAAGGATTTAAGTGGAGAAGGAAGCTGCTTTATAGTCCTTAGAGCTGACCCCAAACAAACGTGACCCTGGCCAGGCCTTAACACTTCTCTAATCAAAGTTTTCAGGACCAGGTATTTTGGCAGCTTCTTGGCTAAAAAACAGTGCCCTGTCCTAGAAGCTGGAAGTCAAGACAAGTACTTGGAGCCTTACTAGTCCAAATGCTGAGACTCTCCAAGCCACTCTACTGAGGGGACTGCTCTTCTTTATTGCTAGACAAAGATAGAATCAGAGGATTGTAGGCCTCGTTCCTACTGGAGCTTAGCAGGGGTGGGCCTGTGAGGAAGACTGAGGTGGTTTGGCCATTTTAGACAATGAGATGGACAAAAGCCAGTTCCCCTCTAAGCACTAGGACCATGTCTCTGCTTCTTGCTGGTAGGGACAGCCAGGCTTGGTGGTAGAAAACAAGGAAGACTTTGGCTGTCCTAGCTTAGGTAAAGGAATTTTTCATAGATCCAACTAGTTAACTAGAGTTTTGCATCAGGGTTTTGTTGGCCAAGCCTAGCTAGTAGTAAAGTCTTACTTTGCCTTGTTTTGTTTTCTTCACGTATTTTTTATCTAGTAACCTTGAAGAGGAGCAAGCAGTCAAAGGCAGGATTAGGATATTACCAGATAGTTTGGGTCTTCTTAACCAAATACCATTATTTATCACACTTTAATATCCCATACCATAATTAGGTTCACAGAGGCCCATGCCAGAAAGTCTCCATTCATTCTTAAAATCCCACTTATGAGAAGTTCAGTGATATTACCTCCCCAAAATAGTGATTGTCAAAATACAACCAGAAGATTAGAAGCCAAACTCCTCTGTGTAATATGTTATTCATCCATTGTCATCTGACCCAAAGTTGTGTGTTTAATGATATGACAAGGTTGGCAGGGACTCCCAGGACCTTGTTTCATGGTATCATTTTTCAGTTAAGCTAATAATATCTGTATCAGTCATCTCCAGACCTATTAAGAAGGGTTGAGTCTCTGCTCTTCTTCAAAAATTTTCAGACCTGCTTCTTTTTTTCTGATCCAGCTTCAGTTGGCTGCCCTCCCCCAAACAGGCCTGGGCCAGTGGGAATGCCTATTTTACAAGTAATAATTTTTGTATGCTTTTTTTTTCATTTCATTTTAACACATACAGCCTTGGATCAGAAACCATTTTCTTCCTCAGTCTACAATTGAGCAGATCTCATAGTTCAGTTCATGCCAGGATTGCTTACTTAATAAGAAAATTCCTCTGTGAATATATGTGCTTAGAACACAATATACTTTGATAATAATAATTCTTAGTATTCATTTTTCTAGCCTGCAGAAAAGAACCGGACCTTCAGGGATTGGTCAAGAATTCTCATTTTGAACACTCCACAGGTTACTTCATCAGGTCAGTTAAAACTACTTGCACATTTTTACTCTCTGTCAATAGGAAAAAAACTAAACAATGAAGCAAATAACTGCTTTATATTTAAAAACTCACTGTGTAGACACCTGAGACCTTCTACTTGTATAGATTGCTTATTTGCCCAACTTTTGCTTTAACGTAAACATCTTGCCAGTTGCAGGAACCAGCACGGGCCTGTAGCGGTCAAGCCAGAATGCTTTACCCTGAGCTCTAGCTTTTACAGGAAATTCCTAAATGAGTAACAACTATCAAGCAAATAGCTTTGAGAGAGATGGGGCTTAGGGTAACTGTTAGTAATTTATACTCAATAGTTCACTGGTTTAATCGAATTATTTTTTAGCGCCTAGGGGAAATGAACTGAATGGAAATATTCTGAGAGGTGAGTAGAGGAAGAGGTGATGATAGTTCTACAAGGAGCAGAGTGAAGGCTTTGAACACCTGCATGGTCAAGGAAAGGGAAGTGCTTGGAGTGGAAGGGCTGCTGGGAAAGAGATCGGAAACCACAGAGACCATTTTAGAAGAGAGTTTCATAATGTTCAGCTCGAAATGTTGGCTTCCATCAGGCAAAAAATAGAATGACACTTCGTAACTCTGAAAGCCACTCTGTATTACACATGTCAGAATCACGTATTCTGTTTTCTCAGAAAGCGGTTCTCAAAGCTTTTCATATTCAGGTTCATACTTACTTGGAAATACGTCTGCAGTATTGCATCTTAAGGATTCGAAGTTGTCTGCAGCCTCTCTGAAGGTCCTCAAGCATTTGGTCAGTAAGCAGGATACAACCAGAAATATCCAAAATGTGCAAGTAATGGCATTTTGCCGATAACATCTCCATTGCCGAGTCTGTAATCTGAACATACAGCCAAAGTTAAGTACTGATTATTCCAATGAACTCCATCCCAGGGAAGAATAGTGTACTAATTGACTTGGGCTGCTGTAACAAAATGCCATAGACTGGATAGTTTAAACAACAGACATTTGTTTCTCACAGTTCTAGAAGCTGAGAAGTCCAAGATTAGGTTACCCACAGACTGTCTGGTGAGGACCCTCTTCCTGGTTTGCAGATGGCTACTTTCTTGCTATATCTTCACAGGGCAGAGTGAGAGCTCTAGTTTCTTCCTATTCTTATAAGGACAGTAATTCCATCATGGTGGCTCTACACTCATGACCTCAATCTACAACTAACTACCTCCCAAAAGCCTTACCTCCCAATCCTATCACATTGAGAATGAGGGTGTCAACATATGAATGGGTGGGGGGCAAAAATTCAGTCCATAACAAACAGAATCAAAACTCTTGCCAGCTTGTCATGTGATGGGCCTATAACTCACATTAGTGATTTAACTGTTTCCAGAACAGTAAAATTATGGTGTCCTGCTTTATGGTCAGGGTAATTCCCAGGGAGTTCTCTATTTTGGGTGGGTAACTTCATCAAAATTTCCTTAGTAATACCTGTCACACCAATGTGAACAACTTACGAAATACTGCCATGGTGGGATTTGGCTTTACACTCAAATCCACTCTAAGGCATCATCAATTTAGAAACATAGGTTTAATAACATAACATGTTACAAGACTATAAAAAATATGTATAGCCTGAAGTTAACCTGCAGACAAGGTCAGATTGCTCTGAGAAGGAATGTGGACATCTCTGATGGTTTGTGTGGAGAGCAACACGGTTCTGGAAAGGGACAAGTAGGTGAGACAGATGTTTGTAGGTGGGGGAAGAGAGAGAAGAAGCCACAGAGACTACATGAATCATGAATCTTACTCTGAGAAATTCTGCTGAGGGTTCCAGTGTCTTGAGAGTTTGCCCAGATGCTTTGCAGAGATAATTCAACTTCACTTCTTAGATTATTTTACTTACTCAGGGTCTAGCTTTTGAATTCAGAGCTGAACTGAGACTTGCTGTAGAATCAATGAGATCACTTTCCTCAAAGGAATTTTTTTCCAACTGGATTTAATTTCTCATTTTAAATGTTTGAACATTCTAAAAAACATGCCATGAGGCTTGGCTCTTGTTTTTAATATAAAGTTGAGAGAATTATGCAGAAAACACTTCAGTTTGAAATGTACACTTTCTAAGTTTGGAAAAATAGATGTTGTCATTGTCTAAGCATGGCCTGTTTTCAGAACATGCTCCGGACCAAGGTTTAACATTGTGCCTGATTCTCATAAAAATGCCCTCAGACATTCCTGCCATACTATGTTGGTCTCTGAGGATCTGATGTAATTGAAAAGAAACAGGAAAAAAAAAAGCCCTCGGAATTGTAGAGAAAAAGAAAGACCGTGAGAGGATAGAAAAGTCCAGGACAGGTAGAGTTCAGAGAGCTAGGATTTATTGATTCTGAAGGAGTGAAAAAGGAGCCTGACATTTCCCACAGATCAGAAGCTCAAGATGTTCAATGACTGAACTGACGTTGTTGGGACTTAATGGGGCTGGGAACTCGAGGTGCAGGTGACTGGCTAAATTCTTAACGCCCAGATACAAGGTCCTAATAGTCCTACGGAGCAGAGATTGTTATTCCCATTTTAGTGCTGGGTAAGATGGGGTCCTAGTACTACATACTGAACTTGGAGGTGAGCTGGTTGCAAGAAGAGCTGGCCTTCCAGGAGATGGATAAGGTGACCATTCAAGATGGACTCGTGGGCTTTGAGAAACCTAGCCTAGGATGATGAGCCAGAAACTAATGTGTTTTATAGCTCATCAAAACCAATGTAGGTGGAAATATAACACTATGTGTCAACTATACTGGAATTTAAAGTAAAATAAGATTTAATTTAAAAAAAGCAATGTAGGTGGACTATATTAAACTGGACCCATAGCCTTATGATTCCTCAATGAAGAGTATTCCAATTGGCCCAAATTATGGTCACCACATCTTCTGAGTCAGGATACCTACTTGACTCACAGAGATAGTAAAATTAAACCCTTCTTCTCTCTTACATTGAGGTTCTGGAATAATCTACTCCCCTTCCCTTTTTTCACCCTAGATCTTTGATATAGGGTGATTCGTTTTATAATATCTTATTTGTGTAAAATCCTCCTTAGTTTCTAGGCTGCAAGACAGTATCCACTGCTCAGTTTATAGAAGGAGCTTCTCCTTACCAAAAAGCAAAAACAACAATAAAAAAAAAACCCAAAATCAAACAAACAAAAAATCCTCTGTCCCAATTCCTATTCTCACTGGAGTCTTTACTTCTCTCATTCTCCTACTTTTCCCCCTAATTAGTCGAGCCACTAAAAAGCCCATTCCCCATCTGTGCCTGCTTTATGGCCAGGGTAATTCCCAGGGAGCAATGTGTTGTCCATGTGTCTATGTGTCTGTGTGCAATGAAAACAAGAACTCTGCAGAGTGTCCATGGTCAGTGCTGCTAAGTGTGCTTAGTTCCTTGACCCACTTCTAGAACCATATGGTGGTGACCAGAAAGACATTTCATTTCTCTAGTTTTTTGGGTTTTTTTTTTTTAAGATTTTATTTATTTGACAGAGAGTACAAACAGGGGGAATGGCAGGCAGAGGAAGAGGGAGAAGCAGGCTCCCCGCTGAGCAGGGAGCCTGACATGGGGCTGGATCCCAGGACCACAAGATCATGACCTGAGCCGAAGGCAGATGCTTAACTGACTGAGCCATCCAGGCGCCCCAGTTTCTCTTGTTCTAAACAAGTACATTATTAAGGGGCACCGGGGTGGCTCAGTTGGTTAAGCTACTGCCTCCGGCTCGGGTCATGATCCCGGAGTCCTGGGATCGAGCCCCACATCATGCTCTCCGCTCAGTGGCGAGTCTGTTTCTCCCTCTCCAGAGCTCTGTGATCTCTCTCACTTTCACTCTCTCTCAAATAAATAAATAAAATCTTTAAAAAAAAACAAAAAACAAGTACATTATTAAACAAAATTTTGCTGTGAACTTTCTAGGTTAATTTTGTCACAGTTTACCACATCTTTCCTCCCACTGCCTCCTCTTCCTTACTACAGTACAAATAACTGTGGAGGAATTAGGCTGTTCTAGCTTCACTCTCTTAATCCACTCACCACACTGAATTTTTAGACTAGCTAGAATGTAGGGCATCTTGAGAGTTTGACGCTTTACTAGAGAGAAGCCCATCAGTGTGCACAACAGAAGACAAAACAGTTGTTCATGGTCTTGTAATTTCTGAGGATCTTTTTAAAAAGACTGTTTCAGGGGCGCCTGGGTGGCTCAGGTCATGATCCCACGTCATGATCCCACTGGGATTGAGCCCTGCTTTGGGCTCCCTGCTCGGCGGGAAGCCTGCTTCTCCCTCTCCCACTCCCCCTGCTTGTGTTCCCTGTCTTGCTGCCTCTCTCTCTGTCAAATAAATAAATAAAATCTTAAAAAAAAAAACAAAAGATTTTTTCATTTTCTTCCCTCTGCATATTTTTCTTCCTCCAAGTTTTTTCTATTAATTTGTTTTGGTCTTTATCTTCCACTTCAGAGGCTTTTCTGTTATGTCTGATAATCCTTGACTGTCTGCCATTTATCAATAGCAAAAGGGCTAAACACTGATCAGAAGGTCTGAGTGCATGATATGGGTCTTCTCTACCTAAAGTTTCAATGGTTAGATGGGTTATTAGTTGATAAACCCCCAAACGTCAATATTTTTCTGTCTTTCATCCTGTGCTGGTTACAGTCTCCAGAAAAGAGGCTTTCAGTCTCCTGCCTGGAGGGAAAGATTCTGCCTGGAAGCCACATTCTGGATGGGCTGTGTTGGAAGAGTGCTTGAATGTCTCTGCATTTGGCATTCAGTCACTTAATTCCTGCTTTCACTTTTGGGCTCAAACTCTCAATTATACATTGTATCTCCTAGCCCAGCAACCTTCTGTTTTTTAGGGTCTTTTTTTAAGATTTATTCATTCATTTTAGAGAGAGAGAGAGCATGCTCACATACATGAGTGGGGGTAGGAGCAGAGGGAGAGAATCCTCAAGCAGACTCCCCACTGAGTGCTGAGCCTGATACCTCAACCCATGAGTTCATGACCTGAGCCAAAACCAAGACCTGAACACTTAATCAACTGAGCCACCCAGGTGCACCCCAGCAACCCTCTGTTTTTACTATCTGTGGAACAAGTAGTAGAACGATTTTGCCCCCCCAGAGGACATTTGGCAATATCTGGAGACACTTTTCATTATCATGATAAGGGGGTATGGGGGACCAGGTGCTATGGACACATACTGGGAGAGGGCAAGGATGCTGTTAAGCATTCTACAGGGCACAGAATAACCCCCACTACAAAATATTATCTCATCTAAAATATCAATAATGCCAGGGTTGAGAAATCTGGGAAATCTAGGAAATAAATATCCAACCTTTTTGTGAAGGTGGGGAAGGGCAGGTGCCCAGGAGTGTGAAGTAGGGGAGGAAATCTAGGGATCTGTCTGTACTTCTCAATAACTTTTAACCCAGTCTTCTTCATTTTAGCCACCCTCTTAACTGAGTTCCAGGGGTAAACAGTGCTACCAAATTTGAAGATCATGATACAAATCAATTTCCGCCCCCCCCCCCGCCCCCAGCTTTCTCTACTGTTGGCTTAGGATTCATGGCTATTTCTGGTTTGCTAAATTAGTTGATCTATTTTCAAGCTTCCAAAATTTTCTTGCTCTTGTCTCCTCTCCTGTTTTCCCTATCAACATGGGCCCTCAGCCTTCTTCTGCAGTTCTGTAGGGTTTCAAGAGGGAACAAAATTATATGTGTATATTCAATCTGCCATATTAATCCAGAATCAGAGATCTCTATTTCTTGACATGGAGATATGTCCATAGTGTATTAAGAGAAAAGAAAGTAGGCTACAATGTATTTTGGAAAGTGTGATTCTATCCTTAAAAAAAAAAGACAAAACACAAATCTTCTATAACTATTTCTAATCTCTGTGTACATAGAAAAACATTCTAGAAGATTAAATATAAAATGCCAACAATGGTTATGTCTGGATGGTAGTATGACAACAGATTTTTACTTTCTTCTTTTTGTTTTTATATGTAGTCCAAAGATTTTACAATAAGGACGTATTTCTTTTATAAACAGCTGTCAGAAAAATTATCAAACACTGGAAATAAGACAAAAGATGACTACATGTCTTTTCAGTGTCATACTGGAACATTGTTTAACAGGCCAATCAGAGGAATTTTATAAGGAATTATGCCATACTAATTACTATTGACTAGGGCCCAAACTCAGTGAAGTTACATGTTGTAACTTGTTATATTTTTGTCCAGGAGAAATGTAAATTATTTCTATATGGTAGAAACTGTAACTCCAAGGTTATGGACTTAGTACCTTAGAGGACATTAGCCAATTTTGGATCTAACCTAACAATCATATTCCAACATTCTTTTTCTTCAGTTCCTATAAATACTCAGTTTGATCAAATGCTCTATGAGCTGGTTTTACCATTTTGCTGATTCTCACATTAATGAATTAAATAAACCTTTGACACATTTTCGTATTTGAATAAGAATTTTTTTAACTTTTTGAAAATTCTGCTTTGAAACAAATGAAATCATAAAGCTATTTCCAGTTTGGGGAGAGGAAAAAAAATGTAATGAATACCTCAGACATAATGAAGAAAATGCGTTCTATGATGCGTCTAACCCCTGACTGCTACCCTACCTGGGTTCTTTGTCTGTGCTTCAGCTGGACACGTCTAAACTCTGACTCCTGCACGTACCTTTGGACAGCCAGCAATGCTGAGAGATGTGAGGTGAATGCAATAAATGGCCAGTGCTTTAATAATCTCATCTGTCAGCTGGGGGCAATAAGAGACATCCAAGTGTTCTAAGATTAGTGAGCCTTTGCAGAATGCCTGCAAGAAATTCCAAAGTCAGAGGGTTTTTTTTCTCTTTGCTACCTTACCCATAGCTGTTTTCTTAGTATGCATTTCAGTCCCTGAAATAGAGATGTGTTACATCTTGCTGGGGGGAAAAAAAGCATTACATCCAATTTTTTTTTTTTTTTAAACAAAAGACATTCACACACCAGCTTAAGAGCTTAGTAATATTCCAATTCCTGTTAACAGAATTTGGTTTTCCTGAATTTAGTGCTAATAAGATTTTACCCAGGTGGTTATTAGAGGTATTATTAGAGTTACATTCAGCCAAATGACTGGAGGGAAAAGAATCTGGAGGGGAGAATTAGATGTGAGACACTCTGGGGTTGATGGTGTTCATGTAATGGAAAGACCATGGTCTTTGGAATCAGGTAGACCTGAGTTTTAATTTCATTTCCACCACTGATTAGCTCTGAAATCTTAGCAAATCGCTTCATCTTTCTGAGCCTCAGTTTCTTCTTTTTTAAATCAGGGAAAATAATATCTAACCTCGAGCATTGTTCTGAAATACCAAAATGTTCATCCGAAATTTCTAGGGCTAGCAAAGGCCTGGAAATCATTGGAAATTCTTCCCTTTACCTTAGTAGTTCTTAATTTTCATTCCCACTTTTCAGTTAAAAAACAAGAACTTTGTGAGAAGAATCCATGAGGAAATAACATTCAAGACTTTACAACCCAGCAATTATACAAAAACAAAATGATCCACAAAAGTAAACCTAATAGTAGTTGTAAAAATATCCTAAGTCAAGATGAGTAGGAATTGGAAACCATGACCAATTCAAGATATACTAATACTGTACTCATAAAAGTCCCTCCCCCAAATTATAAAAATTAGAAATTATCAACATGTGCTCAGTCACTCTAAAGGTTTTGCCTCATTGAGAAGCAGCTCAAATTCTTAGAATACTAAATTAGAGAACTCAGTAAATGAAAGTTTACCATTAATTTTAGTTATAAAGATTAGATTTTAGTAACTAGTGAGTTACTAGTAAGGCATTGCTTATTTATATGTAAAAATGGATGTCAATTGGACTACATGTCATTTTCCTCTCAGAACTGAGGGAAGGACCTGGGCTGTTGGATCACTTGATGGCCATCAGGATGACTCCAGAGGTAAGACTACCAGTGGGCTTCCCTTCCACTGAGTATGCTAATTTCCCATTGTTTTTTAGCCCTAAGGACGACTGGAAAGAATGAGTCAGCCCACTATTTTCTTTTGCAAGTTAGTAAAAGTGGGAAAATTTCCAGGAGAGGCAGTTTAGCATAGGAGGCAAAAGATAGTACTAAAAGATATTGGTGATTTAACCCTCAATCACGGTCTTTTCCTGACCACAATAATCAACAGCGATTCCTCTTTCCTCTGACCTCGTGAGGAATCTGTCTTTTTCAATTGATTGAGCAGTTACAGTACTTGACTTATTCCTGTATTGTGGCTAACTTTGCACAAAGATCTATCTTCTCTAGCAACTAAGTGGTGTCAAAAATTGGAGGGGGCAGCTTGTCAGGAGATAGTGAGGTCCCTGTCATTGGAGATAACCAAGTATAGAGGGCACACCCAGTGGTGGTACAAAGGTGAGTCTGGCTTTGAAGAACTGGAATTATTGGTCTTGAATCTCACCTTGGAGATTCAACAAGTTTTCAATGCAAATGCAGGAAGTTTCTCAGAGGTATTGTGTGGAAGTCTACTAGCTTTTTTTGTTTGTTTCAGAGGTAGAATTTAGTGATTCATCAGTTGCATATAACCCCCAGTGCTCATTACATCAAGTGTCCTCCTTAATGCCCATCACCCAACTATCCCTTCCCTCCCCCCACACCCCTCCAGCAATCCTCAGTTTGTTTCCTAGAGTTCAGCCTCTCTTATGGTTTGCCTCCCTCTCAGTTTTCATCTTATTTTATTTTTCCTTCCCTTCCCCTATGTTCATCTGTTTTGTTTCTTAAATTCCACATATGAGTGAAATCATATGGTATTTGTCTTTCTTTGAGTGACTTATTTCACTTAGCATAACCTCTAGTTCCATCCACGTCATTGCAAATGGCAAGATTTCATTCCTTTTGATGGCTGAGTAATATTCCATCTTCTCTATCCATTCATCTGTCAATGGACATCTGGGCTCTTTCCATATTTTGGCTATTGTGGACATTGCTGCTATAAACATATAAGGGGTGCATGTGCCCCTTCAAATCACTATGTTTGTATCCTTTGGATAAATACCTAGTAGTGAAATTGCTGGGTCGTAGGGTAGTTCTATTATTAACTTCTTGAGGAAACTCCTCTGTTTTCCAGAGTGGCTGCACCAGTTTGCATTCCCACCAACAGTATAAGAGGGTTCCCCTTTCTCCATATCCTCACCAGCATCTGTTGTTTCTTGCATTATTAGTTTTTCTGCTAGCTTTTTATACCCCCTTTACAAGCATCATATTTGTAATTCGGTAGGTTCTCAATATATATTAGTTGGTTGGTCCATCCTTTATAATTGTCTTCAAGAATACAAAGAATTCATTTTTTTTTTTTAAGAATTCTGTTATAATAATATAGGAATTCTTATGTCACAAGGAGTAGGATAACATTGCTTTCTACTTAGAGAATGGACAGAGTCCAGGGAGCCAGAGAAAATTTAAAGCAAGAAGGAATATTTAAACTAAGAATAATTTATTAAAAGATGAAGTGAGCTTTAAAGGGAGATTCAAGGTACTTAGTGTCTGAAAACCCTTAGAGTTACATGTTACATCTGTCAATGTTTTGGACTGCTTGAATCACTTCTGCTTTAAGCCTTTAAAAACAAAACAAAACAAAACAAAACAAAACTTCTAATATTCTTTGAAGTTGAACTTTCTCAGAGGTTTTAAAATTAAAGAATAACTTATAAAAACGCATTAGGAGGTCTATGATACATTCATGGTAGCATTCGCATCCATGGAAAATCTGAGGCACAAAGATTGGTCTCAGGCTTTATGCTTGGCATAAGTCAGTGCAGATCCAAGAAGTAAGTAAGAACTTTTCTTTATAATTCATATTTTCCTTTAGAGACATGTAAGTCATAAGTAACTTAAGTCTGCAGGCATGTTTCAATATAATCACTCATGAAATTCCATTTCTCCCCTACAGATAAGATTATTTTATGCTTTTCTGGTTCCAGTGATGCAGATTCTTACATATATGAGTGCTATTGATTTTCTTGTCTTGGAAATGTCAGACTAAGCTTCTTCCAAGACAAAATCTTTTGTAGTGAAGGTGGGGAGAAAACACAAACATTATCAAGTTTGGCTCCCAACGCACATATCACCCAGTTTTGCTGGGTTAACAATTTTGAAGTAAACCTCCAAATGACTTAGTGAGTTAAATCATTTATTTTTGGTATCTCCTGAGCTGAGTCACAGTGTGGGAAGGCTGAATGACCACATTCCAAAATTGGGTATGTAGAGGAAACAGAGTCTCACTGACATTTACTGACTGTCACAACGACGGCTTCCACCAAAATCCTGATTTAAGCCCCCTCAATAGGTGGCAGCTCTCAGCCTCAAAAACGCGCCCCTCATGGTGCATACCCATCTTTTGACTATTTACCTCATTAGGTTCTGATTCATTCTACTACTAAGTTTTGTGGGTTTTTGTTTTGTTTTGTTTTTTGTTGGTTGGTTTTTTGTGGGGTTTTTTTTGCCTATTGATAATCTTGGGAAAATCTTGTACTGTCAACCATTTTCAGTAATGAAGATGATTTTTGGCTGTTTCAAAGGCTAAAATGCAACTTCCACAATTTTAAGTTATAAACTGGATTTAAAACTACAGTCTCTTGGGCATCATGTATCCCACTGAAGGTAGCCTTGCTCCCACTAGGCATCAGAGCAGGTGGGGTACCTGTGGCCTGAGCATACCGAGCTGGGAAATCTGGGCATTGCCACCAAAACCAAACTCTATGAAGCCTCACCTCCTAGTGAGATGCCTCTCCTGTTCCCACCCTCCCTGCCAGGGAAACCAGACTGAGCAAGGCTTAGCTAAGGCATACTTCTTTTAAATATGGAGGGGATTCATAAAGGGGAAAGGCCAAAGCTCCAAACAGGCATTTCCAAAGATACTTTCATGATGCAATTTTTTACCTAATTACATGGTGATTTGGGAGATAAGCTTTAGCTTCAAGCCAGCTCAAATGTGGCTTACTCCACAAACTTTTCCCCAATTCCTTCCTCTGGAGGAAATGCCTCTTCCAAATCCCTATAGTATTTAATTTTTTTGTGTTTCTCACTTTCCACTTGTATTATATAGCTATTCATATAATTGGTTTATCTTCTGCATTGACTATAGCTTCTTGAGGGCAGAATCCATGTCTGGCTTATTTTTGTGGCCTCAACATCTAGGTGCAAAAGAGGTTCAAGATGAGAGAATGTCCAAAGGGAATGGAAAATGCCTCTTAGCATAGGAAACAGGAAAATGAGCTCCCATAGATTGCTCTCAGGACGCTAAGTCCAGTCCTTCCTCACACCCTGCTTAATAACTGCAGTTAACGAAGATGGTTAAGAGCACAGAGTCTGGGGCCCACCGGCCTGAGTTCATATCCTGACATTTAGAAGTTCTGTGTCTCTGGATAAATTACCCAACCTCTCAATTCTTCAATGATCTCATCTGCAACAGAGGAATAACATGGTACCTTAATATGGCACCTACTTCAGAGATTTGTTGGGAGGATAAAGTGAGTTAATATGAATAAAGCAACTGAAGAGTAGATGGCACATGGTAAGCAGTCAGTAAATAGTAACTAGTACTATTATTTGTATTCTGCTTCTCTTGTACTCTTCTGCTCTATGGTATGATTGCCAAATTTTTTAAATCATACACATCATAGTAAAAATATTTTAAGCATGCACTTTCAATAAATGTATATTAATATACTTATAAATTATATAGACATACAACTATTCAAATATATATTATATTTAAAAACAAATATATATTACCTTATAAATGTATAGCATATGGATCT